GAAGAAAAACTGAATGCTGCCCACTCTCTTTGTTAACAGCTTCATTTGCTGAGCAGTTGGGTAGGATTCTGCCTCCATATTTTCCTTGTCATTCCCTGTCAAAACAGTTTAACTGCAGACTTAGTAAAGATGAGAGTGGAAAATGTGTGGGAGGGGGTAGGGTCACCAAGAGGCCTGGAGTAAAAGGCCCTTTCCCTTAAACTGGGTCTTGAATTTGCCAGCTCTATGAACCACCCACCCAGAAGAATGTACCCCTCTCTGGACTTGCATACCACCCATATTTCATTTACCTGTTGTGTTCTTGCATTACATACATGAGTACATGGTAGCCTCATACAAGCAAATACACTAACTGGGCATTGATGGTTCTAGTTGAGCATTAAATAGACCCTTGTAGGATACAAATCTCTCCCGAGTACTGTTCAATCTGTGCTTACGAAATGTGGATTTACCCTGTGTTGTACCGTCAGCCTGTTCTGAGAAGTGCAAAAAAGAAAAAGAAAAAGACCAATCCCATATCGACAGAACTCACTGACAGAATGCTGGTAACTTTATTTCTCATTAACATACAACAGCTAACAGACTATTCTACTTGCTTATTCTTCTCTTTCCTGTATGGGCTTCCCAAGCTACGTAGACTGAATAGTAGAACTGGATTTTTCTAAATACAGCTGCAATCCTTAGAACACTTTTCTGGGAGTAAGTGCCACTGAATAAAAAGGGGCTTACTTTTGAGTAGACTTGCTTAAGTGCTCCCTTGGTATATTAATTTTTTAAGGAGAATGTTCTCATTTTTCTCCTCAGGAAGCGTGAAGGCAGCACTGCCTACTTCAGTGTGTTAACTCCTCAATGTGGTTTTCAGATTCAACAACTGTAGTCTAGAGTGTGGTCACTATGAAAGTGCAAGCCACAGAGAAAGTACCCAGGCATTTTGATTAACACTTTATGAAATGTTCTCTTCTTAAGTAAGCTATCACACTGTGTAGTAAATCCACATTGTACTCTAAAGGCTGTTGTGATAACGTTTTTCTTCTACATCCAATGAATTGTTCCCAGGTCAAGTTTTGCAGCCAAGGCAACAGTTGTAGCTCCAGTCCCAGGTAGTTCACCAGAGTAAGCTATGTTCACGAAGCAATATTCGAGGAGGTGAGTTATCACTCAGTGTGGCTGTTTACCATTTTTAAAAGAGGGGGAGAAATAGGCAAAAGAGCCAGTGGTGCAAATGAAGGAGGTTATTTTATTGTACAAGAAAAAAAATGTACTAGTTTTTCTTCACTTTTTTTTTAAAAAAAGAGAAGTTTCTCAAGGAGTGAACAGCCTGGCTTTAGGCCTATGAGAAGACATATTGTAAAACAGTAGAATTTGGGGGGTTTCCCTATCTTTAAGCAGCTGGCCCCTGGGCCAGATCTACTCAGTTTCAAGCATAATTTGCTCTGCAGTAGGTTGATTGTGTGTGCTATGTGGGACATGGGAGTCCTCGACTCAGCTTGGAACGAGGCATTTGATTCTTTGGATCCATATAGTCTGCATTTGGGAGACATTTTTATGGTTGAGAGCTTTGAGGCACACCAACCATGTCTTATTTTTTTCATGAGATGGCTGCAGGGAAATTCAGTAACTCAGGGCTTTTTTTTGTAGAAAAAGTCCAGCAGGAACTCATTAGCATAATAGGCCACACCCAACAGCAGAAACTCATTAGCATATTAGGCCACATCCCCTGACTGCACTGCTCATTAGCATGTTTGGCCGCATTCCCATATTACCAGAAGTGTGGTCATCCAGCCACACCCACCTTTTGCTTCTTTACCTTGTTTGTTGTCAAAACCCAGGGCTTTTTTGTAGCAGGAACTCCTTTGCATGTTAGGCCACACACCCCTAATGTAGCCAATCCTAATGAGTTCCTGCTGTTGGGTGGGGCCTATTATGCTCATGGGTTCCTGCTGGGTGTGGCCAACTTGGGAGCCAGCCAGAACTCTGTTCCTGTGCGTTCCTGCCCAAAAATAGCCCTGCAGTAACTGAAGTTTTCATGGGAATGATCCTCTGTCAGGGCCCACAAGTATTTTCTAGGGATGGTCATAGGTTTTGTCAATCACGTGGATGAAGTTGTAAAGACAGCTTCAGTGGGATGGTGACTACAGCCATCTTCAGCTATAGATCAAAACTGGCCATCTCAATTTTTAAAAATACAACACCCCAGTACCTGGTAAGAGTATCTTTGTGCACTGACTTTCCCTATTTTCTGTGTGCTTCAATAGAAGGAATGGTTATAATCATTACAATCCAGTTCAGCCGAATACCAGTGGACCTTTGTGACTACCAATACAAGTTAGTGCCTATTTTTATTTTTTGCTTAATATCCATTCTATTAATATCTAACTATCTCAGAATAGTTTAAAATAACAATACTTAAAATAATGAACATCAGCTGTGCAGTACGCATGAAATAAAACATTCAGATTGCAAGCCAACGTTCCAGAAAGACTGAAACTTCCCAAATGGAAGGAATCTCCTGATCCCACTTAAGGATACACCATTGTCGCTCCCCAGTGTCTCATTTCCTGGTATACATAAACCAAACACCTTCTGTATTCCAGTCATACAAAACCACTAAAGTAGCCAGACAAGAAGCCTTCATGGAAAGTGCAGGGCTGTTGCTGCTTCTCCTCTCAGTAAATGTCATTCACTATCAACAGAAATCCTGCATGTTCTGTAGATGCCCAAATATTGAAAGCGTCACTAGTAGTAATGTTCCCTCTAAGCTGTGGAGTCTTGTGAGCAAAAATTCTACTTTGTGAGCGACTGGCATTAAAGTTGTGAGTGAGCGATTTGGCTACTGCATCAATTAGTTTGTTCTGGAGCCCTCCTTCTTGAGCTAAGGCAAAAATGTGTGAGCTGGAGGCTAAAAAACTGTGAGCTAGCTCACACTAACTCACCTTAGAGGGAACACTGGTAGTAATATGGTACCAGTGGTGTTTTTCATCATTCATCATGTATGTGCTTGCAGAGAAATACAGCAGCAGAGTAACAACTATGCCTTTAGCACAGTAACAAGATCACCTGTGACAATGAACCACTAACAATGATCAAAGGCATTGGGTGGGATGCTCTTGTTTATAGGTCTTCAGTGCATAAGATGGCGCAATGATAGTGCCGGATGCTCATTTCCTTACCAACAGTTCTTTAGGTTTTTTTTAAACCACACAATGCTTGCAACTATGAGGTCTCTGTGCATTGCCAATGAAGATACACCTCTGAGTCCTATGGAATGGGCTAGATCCATCTTTTGATGTTGCTCATGATCCAACCGTTACCTGAAACTGAGCCTGTAGGCTGGTCATTTATACCTCTTGAGAAGCATTAAGATCACCAGTGGCATCCAACTGGCATAATAACTACAGTTTTAAAAGCGAGGACAAGTATATGGGGAGAACTTTGGACTCCTGCATGCACTTGTGCGCCAAAACTTCTTTTGTATGTAATGATACTTTACTATGCGCACACCTTATGCAAAGGAACACCACCCAAATCTTCTGGATGGGAGAGGTCTGACTGAGCTGACAGTTTTCAAATAAAGCATGGGAAAATAAAATAATTACAGAATACTCAGTTAAACTAGAGAAACCAAAGTTTAGAGCATATTTTGAGATTGCATAACTAATGGCACAAAAGCATGAATATGCTGTGCACTTTGGGCTCTGTGCTGTAGCACAAGGTAAGAAAGGATGGCATGGTCTTAATGAATTGGTTTCAAGGTGTCCTGCTTCCGAAAGATAACAGATCCCAATATATAAAAGGACTTCAAAAAGATATCTTATGTGACACCTTAACATCTTAAGTACTTTGGTCGACCACAACGCTAACAACATAGGTCAGACTGACAGGCCAGGAAGCTTATGATTCTGCTTGGTTGCTATCATGAACAACCAATACAGTGAAATTATCTTTGTGATGTTCTCAGGTTGGCTCCTGCTTTTCCATTCTTCTTGTCCATGTCCGAAACTTCAGTGGAAGGTTGTGTTCAAGGGACAGCTGCAGGCTTTCAGTAAAGGAAATGTACGCTCCTTTTGGTGTATGATTGATGATGCCATGTGTTGATCTGGTTTTAAAAGAGGTCACTGGAGAGTCTTCAGAGTGGCTCTTCATCGCTGGTGGATTGAGTACGGGATGAGGCTGTCAACTCAGAGAGGAAAGTGTCAGCATGCCCACAAGGTTTGCAAAGTGTTCTGTAAAAGGCATTATTCTTAAAGAGCAGCCGGATGTATTTCTTGAACTTTTGCCCCATAAAGAAGTAGATCACTGGATTGAGACAGCAGTGAAAAAATGATAGAGTCTGAGATGCTTGAAAGGCATAGTCTAGGATTTTGCTGATTTGGCATCCTTCAATAACACCTGTATCATGCAAACACTGGAGGAAAAGCACAATGTTATAAGGAGTCCAGAACAGTAAAAATACAATCATAACAACAAAGATCATCTTCACTGCCTTCTTCTTGTTTTCGTTCCTGCAGTGCCACAAGGCCTTGAGTATCCTTGTGTAGCAGTAGAACATGACAGCGAATGGAACCAGAAGGCCCAAAATGTTGAATTCCAAAGGAGTAAAAAGCTTCCATGTCATGTCACTCTTGGGGTAATTTGGCCTGCATATGATACGATTGTTTTCAGGAACAGATTCACTGAATACCAGCCCTGGGATGGAAGCTGCCATGGCCACCAGCCACACAATAAGGCTGGTGAGAACGCCGTAGCTAACAGTTCTGGCTTTCAAGGCAAACACCACGTGAACAACTGCAAGATACCGATCAATGCTCATGAGCATGATGAAAAATATCCCGCTGTAAAAACCAGTCAAATAGACCCACGAGAAGAATTTACATAGCCCGTTTCCAAACACCCACTCGTCGGCCACAAAATAAGACCAGAAAGGAAGAGCAAAAACAAAGAACAAGTCTGAGATGGCAAGATTGAGCAGGTAGATATCTGTCATGCTTTTCAGCCTCTTGTATTTCAGCAGCACTAAGATGACAAGGATGTTCCCTGCCAAGCCAAGCAGGAACACTATTGAATAACATGTGGGAAGGAACCAGGATCCGAAATTGTTCACGTCATCTTTTTCACATATCCCTGGGTCATCGCTGAAATTATAGTCATATGAGGAAAAATACTGAATTGTTGCAGTGGGCGGCATTTCATCCAAAGCGGCCATTTTCTTTCCCCCTTAAACAAAGAAATAAATTTATCAAAATGACAAATTAATATTGCTCACTATTTTGAAACACAATAAAGTGAGAATGCAGAGCTGAGAAACGGAGCTGATTCCAGGGATTCTTTAATTCAACATTAGGAGGCGAGTTCTTACATTTTAATATAATACAATAACAATAAAAATACGTAGTCAATAGGGAAGTGTCCTTTTTGTGTAACATTCATTCTGACTCCCAAAATGAAAGTTTGTCCTGAGTCATTATCCCTTCAGAGCTGACAGTTTTAAGGGCACAACATCCTCTTTTGGGGTGGTCATTGTGCAAATAGATCTCGTACTGATCCTTAGCAAGAAGCAGAGCATATGAAATGTTAACCCTACGGACTACTTCAAAATGCTCCATGTAGATTGCGGTTTGTCATTTGAAGCTGGAAACCACCACAGGTTTAGTACTGGAAGTTACTACTGGCAGGGGCGGATTAACCATTAAGCAGACTAAGCACATGCTTAGGGCACCAGGGCCAAAGGGGGCACCACAAAGTTGGGGAAAGGGGGAAAAGAACTCTATTTAGCCCCAGCTTGGCTTAGTTTGTATTGCTGCAACCTGCATTGTATATCTGGTCTGAAGGTCAACAACTAAAATGGACTGGGTCAGTGTGGAAAGGAGGGGGGCACCAAGATTGGTCAGTGCTTAGGGCACCAGTGAGCCTTAATCTGCCCCTGACTATTGGGAAGAGAAAAACATGTCAATGGTTTGCGAAATGGTCCTGGCCATTAAAGGACTGGAAAATAAGTTTCTGTAATTGATTTTCTTTGCCGTCTCCAAAGCAGGAAACTGGCTACCTCTTCGTTCTGCATGGCTCAAATGTTTACATGCTCACACCCTTAACAGATGCCGGCACTGTGGATTAAAGAATAGAATCCTTCCTGGACTATGGGTTTAATAGCTTCATAATAGGCCAAAGATTTCACAGGCCAAATTTCCCCCATCATGACTTCTCCATGCTGGCACTCACTACAGTTCCGCCGGTTGTGCATCTATGAAAAGCTCAGGAGCTCTGCAAGAAGCGTGCACAATCTCATTCATTCATTCAGTTTATATCCCACCCTGTCCCGCATGCACCCTATCATGGCCATGTTCTTTTTATTTATTCATTCATTTCATTTGTACCCCACCTTTCTGCCCAATGGTGGCAAGTGGTTTACGTTGTTCTCCTCTCTTCCATTTTATCCTGACAACAACCCTGTAAGGTAGGTAAGGTCGAGAGTGTGGGACTGGCCCAAGGTCACCCAGCAGGCTTCCGTGGCAGAGCAAGGGTCTGAAGCTGGGTCTCCCAGATCCTAGGCCGAGACTCTAGCCACTCTGTCACACTAGCATCTCAACTGCTTTGGACATGCTTCATGGGGAGAGCTTCACCTGATAACCGTTTTTGCCAATTGTACTGCAGTGGTTAAGTTCACAGGAGCCTTACTATGAGGAAGTGATAGTCTTTCACGTGAAAAAAGCTTGCATTCCCATGTTCTGAGAGGTGTTCTAGTCCAATAAAAGATACCCCCAAAGATTCATTGCATCTCTCAGGTAACTTGCTGGTCAAATACTTATGACAGGTAGCTAAGGCTCCACAACATGAACAAGGATATGCTCCTGCAGCAGCAATTAATAAGGGCATGCTGTTATGTAGACACACCTGTCAGTATCACTACCTGAGCCAGAAATATGGTGGCTCTCAACATCCAGAAAAAATATATCCTGGTTTTCTCCTGCATTCTTAACAGGAATTTGTAAGGCAGAAATTAGTAGGTAAAAGCTTTTCATGGCATGGACAGGAGCACTCTTTAGCCACAGGACAATCGAGGCAGCTGCCCTGGTCTCTGCATTGTGGGGTATACTTAAGGGCCTCTGACCACTTGGCTGCCACATTGCTGCCAGCCACTCTGCAGTTTCTGGATTTATGGCAGGCAGCGGTGGCTTCAGGGCAGCAACTGGGGGAAATCTGCTGTAGGGGCACACTCTCTAACTGCCGCACAGCTGATTGCTGCTGGCCACTGCCCTGCCGCCACCCAGCCCTACGTCCTGCAATCTAGGAAGGCAAAAACAGCCCTACATCCTGGGATCAAGGAAGGAAAAACAGCCCTGGAAAGGACTGCAGCCTGCCTGCGACCCTGCGCCCAGCAGAAGGATGAAAGAAGGGAGAACAGACTCCCATGGGGCTGGGTCACTGGATCGGGGCAACGGCTCCTTATGCCCAACCCGTATGGCAGTGGCTGTTTGCACCTGCCCACCCACAGGAGCAACTGTTCACACCCGTCTGCTCAAACTTGCAGAGGAGACCTTCACATATAAGAGTTTTGGGGAAAACCTGCATATTGGTGACCTCCACCTTGTCATGAGCATGGACTGCCATGGATTGCTTTGACTCTGCAGATTATGATGATGAGATGAGATGAGATTGGATTTATACCCCATCCTTCACTACCCAAAGGTGTCTCAGAGCGGCTTACAAACTCCTTTCCCTTCCCCTCCCCACAACAGACACCCTGTGAGGTGGGTGGGGCTGAGAGAGCTCTGACAGTAACTGCTCTTTTTCACGAACAGCTCTTATCAGAACTATGGCTTGCCCAAGGTCATCCAGCCGGGTGCAAGTGGAGGAGTGGGGAATCAAACCCAGTTCTCCTGGATTAGAGTCCGCGCACT